CTCGCCGTTTCGCGGATGTTCCCAGGCTCGAGACAGTGTCCTGCCCCTGTCAGACATCTTCACACGACAGGCTCGCAGCGAAATTTGAATAAAACGCTGCATGAAAAAAAAAATTGAAAGTGGTAAAAAAAAAGTGAAAAAAATCGGGAAAATAAAAAAAAACGAAGTAAATTCTTATTTATCATTCTGTGCGTGTGCGTGCGAGCATTTTATACCTGGGAATCCTGGCCCCGTGGGCAAAGGCAAATAGATAAGGCGGCCGTCGTCTTGTGTGTTGGTGGTGGTGGTTTTCGCCAACAGGATCTCGTCCTGCGTATGCAAATCATTTCGTTCGTGATGATGATTCCTTTTCAATTCAAACAATGCCGAGGGTCGCCCTGGCCCTGGCCCTGGTCCTGGTCCTGTCCTTTGGCCACACATGTTTTGTGTCTGCGTTTTTTATACATTAATCGTGCTATTTAGAAAAAAAAAAATAAATGATTAAACCCTTTGCTTATGCACACTTTTTTTTTGGCTGATTTTTCCTCTTTTTTATACCGTTTGCGTGTGTTTTTTTTTTCTGCTCATCCCGTTGTCGTATTTTCACTTTTTCGTGGGAACTTTGGAGAATCGGGGAACGAGAATGCATTAGAATTTGGAATAGAAATGGGAATGGCGTAAATAACATAGAAGATGGACGCTTAGTTTGGTTAAGAATTTAAGAGATTTCCTATTTTAGCTAAAACTCAATTTAATTTGAAACATTTTCGAAAGTATAAGTATTATTTTATTTTTAAGCGATTTACATTTTTGAGCATAAAGAAATATAATAATCACAACTCAAGCCTATTTTAATAATAATATGTTTTCATTGTGGTTACATATTTTGCTTTCAGACTTCTAAGATAATGCCCAAAGCGATTTATGCTTAATCATTTTACCCGCGTGCCCTCAACCCCTTGGCAAGCGCGATTCACCCCCCGCAGACCCTGATCTGATTTAGGGACAGTCGAGAGTCTGGTCGAAATCTGAAATTTGCATATTGAGGATTCTGTAAAAGGGGCTGAGGGCTTGTCATGGGAACAAAAGATGCGTTCGTTGTCGAAGAATGGCTGGAAATCAATATTTGATGTAATTAATTAACAGCATCGAATGAAAAGAAAAGAAAAAAAAAACCAACAACAATATTAACATTTAGCAATCAATTGAAGACAATTCAATAACAACGGCATTCGATATCCGAAAGTCAAATGTGTTGCGGGCAAATTGATATTCAATTTGGCAAATTTAATTTGGAGAAAATCGCGTATTGATTGCAAAGAAAACTCAGATGTCGCAGCTATATAGAGGAAAATTCCTGACTATAATGACAAAGCGCATGAAAATCGACAGAGTTTTTTAGAAATATTTTGGAAACGGTAAGACAGTTTTGACAGCCAAAATTCTAAATGTATTCCCAATAAATTTCAAAGAAGCGTAAATGTCTTTCTTGTACTTTTGAATGTAACGATAATTTTTGATTGTTATTGAATTGATGTGGCAACCTCGTCGGCGCTGCCAACTGAATGGCAACAAAGTATCGATGCTGTTAACACACACACACACACACAGCTATCGATATTAAACGTACGTGTCCAAAATCAGCTGCGTCGAATGAAACAAACAATGCGCTGCATAAATACCTCGCAACTGGCTGCTCATTAAGAAATTGAACTGACGAAATCAGTTGGATTTAGTTGTAAACAGCAGGCGAACGTATTAGCAGAAGACAGAAGACAAGGCAACAATGACAACACCAGGAAAAGTGCGCCGCAACGTGCTGGCCACAAGTGGACTGGGCCTGGCGCTGCTCGTTTTGTTGTACTGGACGAAGCTGACGGGCGGCTACTTTGCAGCGCTCGATGAGGCCGCAACGAACAAGAACTGTTTCTGTGAGGTAGGCGTGGTCGAAAGAGAAACTCTCTCCAGCTAGGCGCTCAACTAATCGAATGTGTTTTGCTTGCAGCTAGAAGGCTCCATCAACGATTGCAGCTGTGATGTGGACACGGTCGATCATTTTAATAACATGAAGGTCTATCCCAGGCTGCAGAGTCTGTTGGTGAAGAACTTCTTTCGTTTCTACAAGGTTAACCTGAAGCAGGACTGTCCCTTCTGGCCGGACGACAGCCGTTGCGCCATACGCTTCTGTCAGGTGGAGAACTGCGAGGAGAAGGCCATACCAGAGGGCATCAAGGATAATACCGAGCACAGAGACAAGTCGGCATCGTACAAGGTGAGCTAAATATGGCACGTAGCAGTTTTGAAGTAAATCTATAGATTATGTTTGTTTAAGCAAGTGAGGTACAGTGATAACTGCCTTGAGCAAACAGTTGAAAATTCTTCTATTGTCTATCAAATCTTAAATCTTTCATAGCAGAGATTTCTTCTACTTACCTTTGCCACATACTCAAACAAAATCCATAGCTACGAACGGGTTTAAAAGATCAGGCACTTCATAAATTCGATTCCTCATTGGAGCATTCACTGTATTTGTTATCAATATTGATTTGCGATGAAGAGGTTCCTTTAAATTACTTTATTATCTTGGTGCTCAACGGGGGAATGCTATAAATTCATGCACTATCTATGACTTTCTGAATGAACGTGTTGTACCTGTTGTTGTTGTCGACGTCTGCAATGTCAGAATCAGTACTTGGCATCTTTTTAAGTTCCGCAAACCCACTTAAGCTCTGGGTGGCTGCACAGTGATAAGCAAATTGTCGACTCACGGATCGAAGCGATTGCTTTCCTTGAGATTTTGTTTATAATCCTTTGTTTATGCCTTGAGCCTGACTCTGGCTTAATCTTCTTTTATTTGGAGATTCATTTTTGGTCAGTCTTAAAGCTTGGTTCATAGACAGGATATAACATCCGGTTAAGGCCAACTCTTGATATGCAGGCCAGCTGACGTGTTGAAGCAATGCTTAGAGTCTTCTTTAAGCCAATTGTGGCTATGGCTGCCAACTGACGTGGCCTGTTGATTCACAAGTCGCAGCTCATTCAGACGCCCCCCTTTTTTCTGCTGTTAATTGTTTTATTCTGCTTAACAACAATTGTTGGCGTTGCGTAAGCTTTATTTGCACAGCTGAAGTCTCGCCTTTTACACATTCATTAAAGTTGACTTCCTCAATTATCTAGTACACGCGAGAGGCGCAGGTGGACAGAGGCTGCTCGGAGGCGGAGGACTTTGACAGCGCTTTGGGTTTTCTGGACACAAGCATTAGTGATCAGGCGCACAAGGAGTTCGAGCTGTGGGCAAAGCACGACGAGGCCGAGGAGGACTTTTGCATTATGGATGATCATGATGCGGATGCACAGTATGTCGATTTGTTGCTCAATCCGGAACGTTATACGGGCTACAAGGGCGACTCGGCGCATCGCATCTGGAACAGCATATATCTGGAGAATTGTTTCGGTGGCAACAACGAGACATCCAATAAATTCTCCAGCTATATGCCGCACATGGAGCTGCGTGATGTGTGCCTGGAGCAGCGCGCCTTCTATCGCATCATCTCGGGCCTACACTCCAGCATCAATATACACCTATGCTCCAAGTATTTGTTATCCGAAACGAAAGACTTTCTGGATCCACAGGGCATTTGGGGGCCCAATGTAAAGGAGTTTAAGCGTCGTTTCAGTCCCGAAACAACAAGCGGCGAGGGGCCACACTGGCTGCGAAATCTATACTTCATTTATCTGGTAGAGCTGCGTGCCCTGGCCAAGGCGGCGCCCTATCTGCGACGCGAGAACTACTACACAGGCATTGCCGAGGAGGACGAAGAGGTCAAGCTGGCCATGCACGACATGCTGTCGGTCATTGAGTGAGTATTGAATACATTAACTAAATAAATGCTCACTAACTTGACTCACTTTTTGTATCAGATCCTTCCAGTCGCACTTCAATGAGAACGCGCTCTTTAGCAGCGGCATCGCCTCCATTAAATTCAAGGATGATTACAAGGAGAAGTTCCGGAATATATCCAGAATCATGGACTGTGTGGGCTGCGACAAATGCAAGCTGTGGGGCAAACTGCAGACCCAAGGCCTGGGCACCGCACTCAAGATACTCTACTCGGAGAAGCTCAATTTGGCAACCGAAAGCGGTCTGTGGGACAAACCACACATCGATTCTGATCCCATCTTTAGGCTGTCGCGCACAGAAATCGTGGCATTATTCAATGCCTTCGGCAGGTGCAAATTTTTTTCTCTAAATATCCAACCAGAAAACTCAGTAAATATTGTGTATTATATTCTAGATTATCTACCAGCATATATGAAATGGAGAATTTCCGGCGAGTGCTGAGATAGCCCAAAGGACGTTGACGCCCCAAAAAAATAAAAAAAAAAACACGGCACAAATTCAATTCCCTTCAATAGAGCTAAACGCTACGAATGCCCAAAAAAAAACTGTAGTTAATTGATGAGCGCACATCTAAAGACATTATTGATATGGATCTTATTTACGGTTTCCATCCAAAAGTTATGATTATATAACGGGACAGCAGCCAGAGGCTAACGACCCTGTGTCCCATACATGGCTGCATTTTTGTATATATACATTGGGAATGCATTAAAACGTATATTCGTATATTCGTAGGCTACTTGTACTTTACCTACCCTCTATGCGCTACACAGGTGTATTTTTATTGTAAGTTAGAGTATATTTATTTATTGTGAAACTATGCCTAATTATACTTAGGAAACAATGAAACGAAAAAATAACGAAAAAAAAAACCTTGTGCAATAATCTAACGCCCGATCGTTTTCATTCAACCGTTAAGCGGCACAAACGGGCGTTGCCATGCCTACTCACATCTGGCAGCGCTGCCAGCTAACGAAATTCGATAACGATAACAACAATTTTACTTGCCGCTTAGCAACCGAGTTTTCTTTTTGAAACAATTGTCGTTAACTTCGACACAAATAGAAATTCCTAGAAGCGTCTAAAACAGAAAATAATTGAATTTATATTTATTGCCAAAATGGTAATGCTACATGTGAAACGCGGCGATGAGAATCTCTTTCTGTATGAGACAAGTGTGACCGCAGCCACGGATGCCGTTATACGTGAACTGGTATCGGTTTTCAATGGCCGCTTGAAAATTCAACGCATTTGCATGGAAATCGAGGAGCTGGCCGAGCACGGCACCATGCTGCCGGTTGAAATGATTGGCCTGAACGATGATCAGATCGAGGAGCTGAAACTCAAAGATACCTGGGCAGATAAATGCGTGCCCATGGGCGGCTTCACGTTCAACAAGGATCCGCTGTGCCGGCGCAACGGCCAGCAGCCGAACGAGGCGATGCGCAAGGTGCTCGCCAATGCCATGACCGATGCCAAGGCCATGGTCGATAAGGTAATTGGTAGTGCCACCAATCTCCAGTCACTGAACTTCATGCATTCCTTGACAGAAATTGTGCAAATCCTCGACCGCACTCACGCTGAAGGTCATCGAGGAGGCGCTGAACATATTGCGCGGCGCAGTCACCATTGTGTATCCGATGAAGCTGCCGCCGCACGACACCATACAGATGGAGTTCGCCAACATGGAGGATCTGAGCGGCACCCAGGCATCCAAGGAGGTCATCGAGCCCTCGAAGGCTCAATTGTGGTTTGCCGGTCGCCAGATCCTAACTGGCAAGCTACTGAACGAGTATTTGGGCAATAATGACAAGACCAAGGTGAGCGCAGCCCGTGCCAAAGTGTTGTTGTATAATCCACATCTTCTGCCGGCTCTCCTCAGGTTGTGGTCAAGCTGAATCAGCTGGGCGAGGGTCCGCCCGCCCGCGAGCAGGTCATCACCGAGCAAGTGCGTCGCCAAATGATGGCAGCCGCCTACAAACGCCAGGAGGAGCTCAAGGTGAGTGCTCCTTTAAAGTATTCTTTATTTAATATATATATATATATATATTTATCTATAAAGTCAAGTTAATCAAAGGTGTAGAAAGTTAAGCTTGCATTGGTGCGTTCCAAAATAAACAATTCCCTAGCCTTAAACAAGACTGCAAAGCTTTGAATCGAACCTAGACCATTTTTGGTATATATTCGCATATCCAAGCTCTAAGATGGATCTGGTTAACGTACTGAGTAATCGGCTGGAGCCGGAAAGCCCCAGCCTAGGCTTGCAGCCAAGTTTTTTGATATAAATTTCGCATAGATCAGCTAAACTAAGTCGAGCTTAAGTTGTCTCCAAGTATTCTTTTGTATATTGGCATAGGCTACTAAATCGTAAATCGTAAATCGAAAAAAAAGGCAAAGTCGCATGCCTCTATATATATGTATATATATTTATCTACTGAAGGATCTTGATTTGTCGTATTTCGTTCGTACATATTGCTAAATAAATGCATTTGCCCAAAATTGTTGGTGCCGTTCTCCTGCAAGGATTCGAAGAGCTTATCTCATAGTTCTCCTCTGAGGAATCTTCTGCAGGGATTCGAAGAGCTTATCTATTAGTTCTTTGGTCCAGCAGAGTAACAAGCGAGTTCTGACTAGTTAATCGTCGTTCAACTTCTTTCTATATACCCTGGAATTTGTATAAATTCTTGTCTAAATGCAATTGACTCTGCAATGCCGAAGCACAGCTGCTGAACCAAGGTGGGGGGCTTGATATATACATATATATATGTATGTATTATTTCTGTTTATAGTTAGGTTTCTCTATCTGGTCGTATAACCCGCATTTGAGAGGTTAATTGTAAAGCTCTTGAGAGTTAAATTGAACAACTTTCGTTGCCTTTCATATGAGTTTCTTGTTTAAAAGAGAAAGAGACAATCTGAGATGTGTGTCCAGTGCGAAAGGCTAAAATAATTTTGATCTTTGTAAATGTACATCATAAAAAATGTCCTATAAATGCAGAGATAAATAGCGCAGAGTTCGAAAAATAAGTTCAGTTAACATTGTACACTGCACAGGTCCCTAAAGATTTGGTAGAGTTTCTATATAAATTGTGTAGTTGTAAGCAAATATCCTGAGCTAAATTTTTGGCCAGCCTGGGCATTGTTTAGAGTATAACCAGCGGCTTTTCGGGCACATCACACTTGGCGGCCTTCTCGTCCTGATCCTCCGTCGACTGCTGCTCGGTGGGACTCAGCGGTATTAAGGACTTGGTGCTGCCAATCATTTCCTGCGTATCGAATGGATGTGCTGGCTCCGCTGCCACATCCAGCTCGACAGCCTGCTGCTCCAGGTCGACCACATCGTCGTCCGTATCATAGACCTGTTCCGGTTGCTTGGCAGCAGCTGCATTGCCAAAGCCATCATCATCCGAATCATCGCCAGCGCAGACACAACGCATCTTGGCATCGTCGCCCACCTGAAATCGCACAATTATTATATCAATTTCTTTCTCAAGAGGCTACCACAGCCAACCCACCTTGACGGACTTGGTAATGACGCACAACGATATGGAGGAAATGACAAACAGCACAATGGGCACAATCAGCGAGACGACCAACTCGCGATACACCTTATCCAGATCGTAGCGTGCGACCACAAATTCCACATTTGTATCCTTCAAAGAGAGAGTTTCATTATTAGAGGTCGACTAGAAGTTACTCAGTATAAAGTTTTGCAACGTATACTCAAAATTAGTTCCATATTTGAAATATTTACATATCAACTTTTGCTAGAGGTAAATACTTGGGCAGGGATCTAAAGATTATAGCAGAGTCTAAGTACCCAATATGCTAAGAAATGATATTGAAAATCAATATTAAACGGTTTTCTCAGTAAGGAGAAGTTTTTGAATGCCAAAGATTCATATCTTTCGGCAGACTTGGATAGGTTGGACTCCATTCGTAAACCTGCTTAAATTTTGCGCCTTCAGCCTGTTACATACATGCCACCCTTCACCCACTGCCAAGGCTTACAGGGTATAGAGGCTAAATGAAACCTGATCCCAGCTTCACTGGATTGGTTTACCTTGTTGTAGTAGCATTGATAGCGTGACTGGGCCGTGTTGTTGTCGCCATCGTTGCCATAGCGCGCCACGAAGTCCTTGCACTCGCCGCGCAGCGTGTTGACGCAGCCCTCGAGATTGATGAACAGCTTCTTCCAGCTGTAGATGGTCAGATTGGCCTGGTTGGGCAGAAACTTTTGCTCCGGATCGACGGCATGCGTGCTATTATCATAGATGGCCCAGAACTGTGTGAAGTTCATGAATGGCGCCGGCAGCGCATCGTGCTCCAGCAGAGTCCCATTCAGGCAATCCGTGGCGCTGCCAGAACAAGATTTCGTTATAGAAAAGTTGAAAGGGATTAAAGGGTATACGCTTACGTGATGCGATTGTCCGATTCGCGTGTAACTGTGGCACAGTTGGTCAACAGGTTGCCGTCGTCCTCCTTCCAGAATTCCGTGGGTTCGATGCGTACGCCGTGCTCCTTGCCGCGCGCCTCATTGAAGGCCACCGCGTTCTCGCAGTCCGCCGCAATAACATTGTCCTCCTGCGGCAAATAAGATTTGATTAGAAAGAGAAAGAGAGAGAGAGAGAGAGAGAGAGAGGGGTGTCTACTCACGTGCATGATGAGCGTGTTGATGTTGGCGGTGGTTATGCGGGAACAGTAGCGATCGCAGCTGAAGGGTCGCTTGATCTTGGTGCAGTGCACGCCGTGGCATTCGAAGAAGCCATTCAGCTTGGTGTTATCCTTGGCCGAGTTGATGACAGGCCCATCCGGCTTGTGATGGCACAAAAAGAACTCGGACATGTTCTTGCAGTGGCCTGTGGATTAAGACAAGGGTTTAAAAAGAGTTTCAAGCTGGGCAAACCTTTGCTTAAGTACATCATATGTAATATTTACTTAAGTATAGGGTATTAATATGTCTACTATGAATTGTTGAAATATCACCATTTATCTATTCAATTTAAATGCAAAATCAAAAAGGTACTTCTAGATGTGCTCACACACAAACATACCCTATATTTATGACTTTACTGTGGACTTGCCCTGCCCAGCGCTTTAACTTGTTGAGAATTTTAAGTACTTACCATTCGAGCAGTTGAAGACGCCGCGAATGTTGTTGCAAACGGTGCCATTGTTGCAGTTAAACTTGTTCAGGCGATTCAGGTCAATCTGTTGGTTCGAGAGGCAGTAAAAAATTAGATGTCTGTGTGTTCATTTCATTAATGTGATCATAAAGACGCTGTGGCGCCAGCCAAATGCTGCAAATGCTCGAAATATTTGCGTTTAATTAGGAGCCATAACGAGAGCAACAAGAGGGAAGGGTTATCTCAGTCAAGCCGAAGAATAAATACTCTTAAATATGCGAGCAGAGTTCTAAAGCTCGTAATTGTTAAGTTTGTCGAAGAGGTCTTCAAAAATTAGAAAATTTTACCATACAGCGTTACCTCTGATCTATTTCCCTATAGAGCTATATTTAATATATTTTTGCTGAAGTGTGTAGAGCAAAGCAAGACTATTAAATGAAAGATTTGGTTAGAAGATCTCGAGAAGCAGGCGTTTTTCAAATAAGAACTAGAGTTTTGACATATTGATATGATATTGTAGTCCTAGGGAACATGTCCTAGAATATTTTATACTGCCTAGAGCACAAAGACTTCCCTACCAAAACTTTTATCAACATCAGCTTCAAAATGAATCATGGCTCACTTGTTAAGACTTATCCGAAATATATATGTGGTACTTTGTGGTCGCAGATGACTCAATCTGTGCGTCATAAAAGACTTCTCAACATTTTAATGCCCTCGACAAGAGCATAAAACAATGAACGACAGCGAAATTTGTATTGAATTATTGATTTGGTGGCAAGGACTTACCATGGCGCAGGAGGTGTTGGTCACCCGGGTGCAGTTGTTGAGCTGTATATCGGTGCCGTTGCGTCGCACTATCGAATGGATTTGCGGACAGAAGCCGCTGGTGCGGGTCAGACACCATTCGCCGCACGAGGCCCAGGGGCAATTGTTGGGCATCTGACGGTCGACAGTCTGGCACATGACCGGATCCAGCTCGAAGCCCGACTTGAAGGCTCTGCAGAGCGTACGACCGTCAGTGGGTATGGTTAAAAGGGATTCTAATGTACTCACTTGAGGGAGGGCGAGTATATGGCCACGCTGAGATAGACAATGGAGACGCAGGACAGCACCATGGTCAGCTGGCAGAGGCAAATGGCGCGACAGATGCGCTTGTCCTGCTCGGGTATCAGGCGCGGCTTGTCCTTGCGACGCGCCATGCTCAAGCTTCAGCCGGTCTGCAATCTAAGATTTACGACTTGTTGCCTATAAAATGTCGCCTACCTTTAGTCCTTTGTCGTTTTTCAAGGTGATTTGACGCAGGGTTGGGCTGGGCTTCAGTTGTTTACCTGGCGTCGCCTTTATTTGTCCCAATTTTGTGTCAACTGTAACACGAAAGAAAGGTTTGTCCCGTTTTGGAACTGGTTGTAATGCTAGCCTTTTTTGTGCTTTTATTCCGCCTTAGTTTACTTTTCTCTTTGCGATTTTTTTTTCCCTTTTTTGGCGGACAACCAACACGACTCGACTTCCGTCCGCACTTGCTGCCTGCTCGCTTGCAACTGGCTGTGTCCTGGCCAGGGCTGGCTGGCTGGATATTCGCGCTGCGCACTTTTACTTTTTCAAGTGAAAACGAAAGTAATTGACAAAACAAACCCTTGGCCCCAAGTTGAACCAGCTGGCCCAATTTCGCCAGTCCGACGCATGCGCCTCGCACAGCCAGAGCAAAAGCTTTGGCCCAGCTCTGACTCTCTTGCCAGCTCTCTCACTCTCTACCTGTCTCTCTCTGTCTTGTTCTTTCCCTTTCACTCTTAGTGCACACTCAGTTATTCTGCCGTGCAAATGCACCTTATAACTAAACATGATCTTCCATTTTATTATGGCCTAAACCAGTGGAAAATGGGTGAAAATAATTTAAAGTTATGTACAGAGCAGGTTGATTAAACTGAGTTAATCTTTCGAAAACCTTAAGAGCTAAAGCCTTACAATTTCGAAGTACACATTCTCTTATAAGAAAAACAGAAAACGTTTAGTATTTATTATTTCTATAGAACTAATACTCTTCTCTAATTCTCAAATAGGGTATAACCCAATAACTACTTGCAACTAGATGCTATGTAGATTCTCGTATAGCATAAACAGATCAAGAATAGTTTTCCTTAACCCCCCGAAAGTCGGGGCACACTAAATTGGAGACAGTTGACTTGTTATTTTAATTGTTAACTTTATAAATCATGGAAATTGTAAACAATAACACCTTGGCTAACAACTGTAGTCGAAACCTCGGGTCAGGTTTAATTTCTTAAAATAAAACAATTATAAATTCTCTTCTCATTTGTTGTTTTTTTTTTTATAGTTTAATTGTTTATTAATTAGGCCGTTAGCTTGTTAAATTTGTTTATTGATAAAGACACGTTAAGTAAAAAATTTGTAATCATTTTTTGCATTTCAAATATTATTTTTTTTCGTTTGATTTAAAAAATTCTCATAAGCAACGTGCGTTAAATCGGTTCTGCTATTAAGCTATATTATATATATATATATATATCTATATATATATATATATTATATGTATATATATATATATTTATATATACTTGTATATACTTGTTATATGATTCCATTAAATGTTCCATTTTTTTTATATATAAGTATTTTTACATAAGATTTTTAAAACTATTTCAAAATGTCGCAAATTGTGTGTGAATTCTGTTAGTTGAATTATTTTTGAATATATATTTGGTTTTTTTTTTGGTTCCGATTTCTATGGGTACTACGACCAAATGGTTCAGAGATAGAATATGGAATCTCTGCTTTTTGCTAATTATACAATTTTCTTTGATTTATTTACGAATTTTACTTAATATTCTGTTTATGACTACTATCACAATTCTTTTTGAAAACAAGCTTATTTTTGTTTTTGTTTTTTGTTTTTTTTTTTTTTTAGTTTGAGAAATTGAGATTTTATCTGATGGGAAAGGCGGAGCATCGAGTTGCGTTCGAAAGCAAGCGAAAGTAGAACAAAAGCTTTCAAAGTCTCTATTTAAGATAAATGTGTGTATAAAGCATAATAAGATGTGTATGAAAATTGGCAATGAGCTAATTGTTTGAATAGATTTAAATATGTTTTTTTTTTTTAGTTCTAAAGTACAATTTCAATGCTCCGCTGTGTCTCCTATATTTTAATGGCAGATGGCTTTTCTTCTATAATATTTATTAAGCTATATGTTTGTGTGTGTGTGTGTGTGTTTTTGGTACAGACTACAAAGTTAATTAGCTAAGTTGTTTAGAGGATATTAACTAATTTGAATTTATTGCTAGTATTCCATTTCATCCTCTTCATCACTGTGACACAGAAGTTTGCTAAAAGAATTGATTGGTACGAAAGTTCAAAAACGTTTCTAATGCGAATTACATTTTAAGCAAAATATCAGATTAAATACCATAGATAATTCAGTTACAATAGTTAGGTACATGCCAAAAGTTCTTTAACTAGCCTGAGGCAAATACACTCAGAGAAAATGCAACTAGATGCGTATTTATAGCAACTTCTTCTTTAAAGAAAAGAAATTGTTTGAAAGTCAAAATTCTTTCAAACTTGATTCAATGTGAAATCTTTTTAATGCTTAGTTTAAGCATGCAAATTCTTAGCATAAGTCTGCAGTGCTTAAACCAAGCCCTTTTTTTATAATTTTCTTCAAAAGCATTCAATTCTTTAAAAGAATGTTACGTATATTTCTTAAATTAAGTAAATAAATCTTTAAAAGAATGTTTTTGATACTTCTTAAATTCTAACATTCTTTTTAAATATTGAAAGCTTTTGAAGAAAATTATAAAAGTACGTACGTATTATAAAAGTACGTACCAAAAAGTACGTATTTAACTAGAACTTAGATCTAGAGCTAGATCATTTCTCTGAGTGTACTTATCTTAAAGTAAAACATGCAAAAACTAAAATCAAATAACTAGAAATACTGGAAACATGCTACTATTATTTTAGTTAAAAAATATATTATATATAATTAGGTATTTATTTTTTGGTCGCATATAAACTGAGCGTTGTATAGTGAATAATATTCGAAGTCTGGACTAGTGCAGCGTTTTTTTTTTCTTTTGAGGGATACTCGAAAGTATCTCAGCAAAGACTATAATATAGACTATATCTATATAATGCAGTATATATCAGTTTGTGCTCTTTGATTATTGAAAAGTCTTGTTGAGAGTTCGAAGAGGTTTTTATTTTTTGCTAGCGAACTTGAAGTGCTTTTTATATCAAAAATTGCGAGATGACAGCTTGAAGCTGAGCTCGGGCTAATGCGTGAAACATATGTATATATATATTTGCTAAGGACACTTCAGAGTAACTTTTTCAAAGCCGGGTTTTCGTTTCGTTTTTGTGTACTGAGCGTGTAATTTCTAACAAAGCGTTTGATTGTGTTCGTTTTTATTTTTATTTTTTTTTTGCTTGGACTTAGATTTAAGTTGTAGTCCCTCGATTTGAACCTAGCTTAGAATGTGAGCGGGGGGAGCACAAAAAATTCAGGCACTGTCGCTTTTCAGAGTTATTCAATATACTTTTAAAGTTAACGACTTTTCCGTATTACATTTCATGCAGTTAACGATCCTGAAAATAATTTGTACAAAGAGAGAAAAGAAACGTAAAGCGCATGAAAAAGTCTGTCAAAGAGAACTTAAAAGCGAGACGAGCTTTTTTTTACAAACAATTTCACAAACTTAAGATAGAAGATTTCCGAGGCCAATCAGGATTATAGAGCATAACAATTACAATCGATAACGATATGATAGACGATAAACGATTAACGATATACGATTAACGATATACGATTAAACGATTACTTTTGACAATCTCAATACAAGGCACAATGGATTATTATAAATATAAAATATTGTTTTTGGTTATGTGTGGGCTTTTACTACATTACGGGTTTTTATAAAAATTCTTGTATGAGAACACAAAAACTAGATGCTTGCGACTGCGGTTTGGTTCATTTTTGAAAAGTCAACTCACTCTTCCTTGGTTGGAAACTTTTCGGCATAGACCCGTGAGGATTTGTTGCACGCCTTCTCACAGCAGGGGCAATACCAATAGCTGAGCACCCCGATCGAGATGGCGAAGAGCACATTCGGTATTATCAGCGACAGCACCAGATGATACAGATTATTCTCCCACGAATAGCGACCGATGACGACCTGCGGATAGGCGCGACTATAGTAGCAGGGAAACGGTTCGCCAATGTGAGAGTAGCTGTTGTGGATGACAAAGAATTTAAAATCATATTTATAAATAATTCGCGAAGCGAAGAACCCACCCATATTGTCTGGCAAACACGCTGCAATTGGTCGTGGGCGGATAGCCGCAACCCTCGGAGTTGATCAGAAACTTTGTATAGCTGACATCCCAATTGACGCGCTCCAAGTCTCGAGGATTGCGCTCCCATTCGCTGTAGGGTATGCGCGTATAGTTGACAAACAGCTGATGGCACCTGGCAGAGAGAAACCATATAAACTACTAGTTTAATCGAATATAGATCTCTCTCTACTTACTTGGTGAGTGATGAGGTGCAGCCCTCGCGACAGGAGCTCCAGGTGCAGTTCTTGATGCCCTCCGCATAGATGTGATCGATGACAACGCAGGTCACCGGCACCGGATCGTAATCGGCTATAATTGTTGAGATGGCGGGATCCACGACAAAGGGTATCAGGAAGAGAAATGTGAACACCGACAGTATGGCAGTCGTACCTATAAAGGGTAAGCGTAACTCCAGTCGGTTAGATTATGCTGTAGAAAGGTGTTCTGCGGCAAACCAAGGCTGCAATCCGTTTTGTTTCACGGTTTGAACCAGCTAGATGGTTCAAACTTAATGTGGAAATCACACTTCAGGACTTTTGATTATAAGAATGTTAAGTAGAAGTCAACCAGCTGCAGCTTCGAACCAGCGTCTTTACTTTTAATGGATTTGCAGCCATTGTATAAATCTATCTAGATCCTGAAACTTACCAAGGCACACGGAGGTGTAGAATTTCGCCTTCTCGAGTATGCTATCGATTTCGATCTCCTCGCGCTTGGCCTTGATGGCGTCGACGCAACCGCTGCCTGGCCGGATCGGCCCGTGCGATTGGCAGGAGGATCGGCCCGATCGGCTGCTGCTCAGGCTCATTTTGCTGGCCGACAGGGTCTGGGCCGAGAGCGTCGGGCTCGTCGGCATCGACGTGGTCGTTGTCAGCGTTGAGCTCTTCTTCATGCTTACTTTTGTTTTTTTTTTTTGCGAGTGTGTGTCGTGTGTGTGTGGATAAAAGTTTTTGGTTTTTTTTTTTGTTGGGTTTCTTTTTTTTATCACTAAAAGCCTTAAAAATGAACACCGCTAAATTTTTGCTGCTCGCCGAGCCTACAACAATAAACAACTTTAATGAGAGCTTTCCGCTCGCTCCCCCTAGCCTAAAGTTTCCCTAGGGTTTCCTTAAGGTTTCCCCAAGGTTTCCTTAAGGTCCTTTTCGTTAACCCAAAAGTTGATCTCTTTTCTTTTCGTCTTGTCGAAATGGAAATCTGTTTTTTGTCTTTAGTCTAAGTCTTTGTTTTTGGTTTTTAAAATTGCAATTGGATTTTGCATTAATTTTAGCTAAATTTTGTTTGTTAGTTTAACTTTTCTTTGTTTTCTTTTTTTTTTTTTCTAGTTGTCTTTGGTTTTGTTTAAATCTTCTTAGTTTTGATCACGCATCCCTCCAAACCGTTTGACCATTATCCGCCTGCTCCTAAGGGCCGATTCTTAAACCCTTTTGTGGGTTGTGTCTTCATGTGGCTGTGTCTCTGTCTGATTGTGGTGTGTGTGCGTGCATTGAGTGCATTTCTTGTATTCTCTCTATATGGATATTAACTTAAAGTTAAATAATCGAATCAACTTGCGGCCCACGAATTACTCTCAGTATGTGGCCTAACCTTATACGAAAACGAAATATATATATATATATATATATATAAATTATACTAATATTGTCTGTTCTGATTCTGTTCCGCAACTCGAGAATTTTTCACGTGCCTCGCATATGTGGTGTAGTGTTTTATATAGTTTTCTTTGTGATTTGCTGTTAGCTCGGTAGTGTCCTTGCAAGCCGCTCAGGTGTGTGTGGTCTAGTTAGAAGTTCGATGGAAGGATTACAAAGTGTTGCGATTGATAACAATGCCCAACTCCATTTACTGCAAAGCGAAGACGCCCGTCTGATGCACCGGACTGTCTTCCTGGAGCAGAGGAATGCCTGAAAAGCAATGCGCAGAGAAAGGATCTTTATCAATGGAAAATTCTTACGTAAAACTGATATCTTTCTATGCTATGCTAGGCCTTAAAGCTATGTTCTAACTCTACTTGAGTAATGTCTGAGAATTGAATCAGAGTTAAAAGGAAGTTTCATAAGGGAGGCTCCAAGATGTTCTTACGTTGGGGTCTGAGATAAACCTGAAATGTAGAGAGAGAGAGAGAGAGAGAGAGAGAGAACTAAGGTACTAAGGAGATCGTTATGTTTCGCCTGAGGAATAACTGAAGAGTAGAGGTGATTTCAAGGATATTCTCATGTATTGATCGTAGGTTGTGCGTGAAATATGGCCTGAAAAACGACTGAACAGTAGAGTTGAGAGAGAGGACCTTCATAAAGAACCTCGTTTTTAGGAGGCACTCACGTGATAATCATATTTTTTTAAAGGGCAAGTTTCAAGGTTTTATTTCCTAAGCGTTCTAGGTTTGAGTGAGTTCTTCTAATCGAGTATAAGGTTGCCTCTAACACTACTCGAGCATGGCTGGTGCATTAACTACGGCCTCTGCGACTAGGTGATCCTTAACCTATGTTAGATTTACCCCATAGGCTGTCGGTTTGGCAAGGCAAATGCTGAGAACTCCGTTGGTAGCATAGATTTTAGATTAGTTACGATTTGGCTTATGGGTTGGGTTTGGGTTAGCTTACGTGACGGATCTCATAGGGCCATGACTTCGTCGCCACCGCCGCCAGCCATGTCGCCGCTGGTCGGTGCGCCGGGATTGTTCTTGGACAAAACGGAGGCGGTGTCGACGCAGCCCTTGAAACGCATCTTGGCATCGTCGCCCACATAGACGGTGGTCTGGCACATTATTAGCACCGAACAGGAGACGACAAACAGCACCGAGGGCACAACCGAGGCGAACACAAACTGGCGATAGGTGACCTCCAGATCGAAACGGGCCACCACGATATCCTTCTTGGACGGCGAATAGAAGCAGGGGAAACGTGCCCGGGCATTATGATCGCTGCCATCACGGCCGAAAACCTTTAAGAATTCCTTGCACTCGTCCTGCAGCGTATTAACGCAACCCTCCAAATTGATCATCAGCTTGGACTCATTCGAAATGGTCAAGTCCACATCGGGCGGTGCTATCTCCGGCACCTGCGTCGCGACAGACACATGCAAATGACTGAGATATGTAAAGTTGGTCAGATCGCTGAGCATGCTGTGCTCCAGCGTGGAACCATTGATGCAGTCGACCGCATCCACGCGATCCGACGTGTTCTTGATATAATAGCACGATGTCATGGCCACATTGTCATTGGACTCGTTCCACACCTCCTCCAAGGTCTCCGCATTGATGGCATTCTGGCACTGCGACAGATACACCTTGTCCCCGCTGAGCACCACCACGTTCTTGTTCCGCGTCGGAATGTCCACGCAGCGTCTATCGCAATTGTACGGCGTGCGTATCTTGCGGCAGGTGCCACGACTGCACGAGAACAATCCGCTGATGTCCATGCAGTTGATCTTGCCGCGCCGACCCGAGCACTTGACGGGCGCATCGCTGTTGTGGAAGATGCACTCAAAGGCGTCGGTTATGTTCAGGCACTGGCCCGCCGTGCAGTTAAAGGTGCCCGTCAGATTCTTGCACTCGTCGTTGATGCAGCGCGCCTTGTCCGCGCGATCCTGATCGATGCCGTAGCACGTCTTGTTCGCCGAATTCGTGCAGTTCTGGAAGGTGAGATTTGTGCCGTTGCTGCGCAGATTCACATAGATCTGTATGCAGGCGCCCGAGGTTTTGCTCAGGCACCATTCGCCGCAGCTGCCCCACTCGCAGTTGTCCTTGTTCACAGCCCGCGTTGTGGTGCACATGACGGGCGTCGGATCGATGCCGCTCTTGAAGGCCCGGGTCGATGGCATATAAATGGCCACGGTGAGATAGACCAGCGCCACGGAGCTGAGCACCAGCGTCATCTGGCATATGCAGATGGTGCCACAGATGCGTGTATCCTGCGGCGGCACCACCAGATCCTCGGTGGCCACCTTTTTCTTGCCCATAATTGCGCTGCTCTACTCCTGCTACTGGCTAATCCTCGACAGAGTTTGCTCCTTGCTCTAGCTTATGGCCTGGCTTTTGTGCGCTTGGCCAATTTATTGGCGCATCTTGTTTGTTCTATCGATTGATTCCACGCCCCACGCCCCGCTGCTGCTGCCCACGCCCTGTCGCCTTGACGTGCTGTTATATAATCCGGAATTGACTTGGCGAGATTACTTTTTTTCTATTTCCAATGTGTGTGTGTGTGGCGCTGTGCGGGGGGCGTTGCTTTCAATTTTACACACAACTTGACTTATTGATTTTTGTGTTTTTTTTTTTTTGTAAGTTTCTAATTTTCTAGTTTAGACTAAAAAGTTGGCCGGAGCTTGTCCGTCGCCAGCTCCGTGCACTTAATTTGTGTAATTAACAACAATCTAGCAGCTAGTTTGAATTATTATTATTAAATATTTTTTGCTATTTTCTATTTAGTTGCCAGCTGGCATTTGCTTGGAACTTGGGCTGCCTTTTCACACAGGCCCTGCTGCCTGGCTTTGCACAATTTTCGCACTGAATTGGCCACGGCATTTGCTTTTGTCTCTGCCAGCTCTATTGGTTGCACTCGTGTACTTGACGCTCGTCACCATCTCTCCATCTCCATCTCCTGACCGCCGACAACATGTCGCCAGCTAACCAGCTACCCAGCTCTGCTCTCGGCTGTCTGGCAGAAATCAGAGCGATGCGCGCGCATTTTTATTACAAAATCAATAAAACCGCATTCACGTTTTGCACGAGCAGCTCCTGCTCTCTGTTTGTCATCCTCCCGACTCCCGCTCCCGACTTGCTGGCGCTGCTTTTTCATTGATTAAGCTATGCGTGGCCGCAGCATGTGCACTACGCCCCTCATTTCGGTTGCCGCCTCCCGTGCTTTTGGATGCAGGGCACAGGGACAGGGTCGCCAAGAGGCGGTCGCAGCGGGTGGGCGTGCTGGGCATGACGTCGGCGTCGCAATGAACCAAACGAGTGTAGTTTCAAATACTCTCGTAGAGGGTATAACAACTTTGTCGTGATATATGTAACGCATGGGAGAAGTCCCTAGAGTCTTTATATGCTCAATCAGCAAGACAAGCGGGTCGGTCCTCGTCTGTCCGCCCGGAATGGGATATCGATCTTGTTGAGAATATAACAATTTTGTCGTGAAAGGGTTAACCCACAGGAGAGGCTCCATAGTCTATATATTCTCGATCAGCATCAACAGCCGGTTCGATGTGTCCGTCTATCCGTCCGGAATGGGATAACTTTATCATGTAGCTGCCCAGGGAACTCAGCTTAACTCCCGCCAAACCCGTATCCAATTGGACTACTCTATTTATAGTTCCTCCGGCAACAAACGGTCGAAAGCAGGGCCTTATCCACATATCCGCAAGGGTATTTGGTCCGAAAAGAGTTTTCTTTTCTAGTTTTTTAGTACATATCGTGTGCATATAAATATATATGTATATATTTCCTCTATATTTGCGCTGGAATGCACATAGTTAACAAATTTGCACTATAAATTAAGTTAAGTATAAAAAAAAACGGACCGTGGCCCGTGCTTTAAGAGATTTACACAACAGAAATAAGAGCTGAGTCCGGCTGTAATCCGACTTAGCCGTCCGTGATGGGCATGTTCCAGGATTGGGCCATCACTTGTATCACCTTTTTGCTCAGTCGGGGTCCAATTAGCGGATTCATTTGCGCCATATAGCAGCACAGCCAGAAGAGCCAGCAGCAGCCCGCGGTCAGCATCAGAATGCACTGAGTCAGCTTCTGTTGCGGTCCCCGGGGCGTTATTATCGAACCGCCAATGCCGATGGCAGCCCACAGGCCGGTGAAGAACAATACGAGCAATACGGCGGCGCCCATGTTACAAGTTTATTAAATAAAAATTTGTGCAAATTGCGTAGAGCTGTGATTTACAATTGAATTTCACTTGTTGGCTGCCTTTGTTTTTTTTTTTCGCTACGTACGATAGTTGCCTGCCTATCGATATGCGCCTATCGCAACCGAAGCAGCTGTGCGAGCAGTGCTGCCAACCTGCTGCAAAGTGGCATTGTACAAAGGCGCTAAATTTGAACACAGCTTGGCCATGCCTAGCCATATATAATTGTAATAAAACTGAATTCAGCTAATTGACTTCAGTTCAATGTTGACAAACTATAAGTCAAATGCAAAGTGGCACGTTTTAAGGTATTTTGAAAGTGTGTTTAGATATTTAAAAGGTATTTTCAGTGTGTTGAGGGATCTTTAAACTGTTAGCTTAACTTATTTTGTCAACTGACAAACTACTAATGAAGCTAATATATTAGTGAATATTATGAAAAACTACAAGTTTTGATCAGGCGAACTTGACATCACTTGCCTTTGATAGCACTTTCCAATTTATTTATCAGTCCGAAATATATTTATAAAACTGGGCAAAAAACGTCTGTAAAATATTCACAAAATAACCAAGTTTTCCGACTTGCCCTTTGTTAAGTATCAGCCCATTGAATAATCAATGGCAAGTGTTATTGAGAATTTCACATTGTTGATTGGGCGACGACGACAATTTGTGGGTTGGGTTTGCTTTATGGGAATTCTCTAAATACGAATGCGCTCCTAAGTAGGCAACACTTCTTGCACGCCAAAAGAAGGTCAAATGCAGTGAAAGTTTTTTGTTTTATTTTTTTATATTTTTAAATATAATTCGTTACTCACATTTACAAGTTGTGGTTGCTTCCAGCTATTCAGGTTTATTTACGTTCGCGGACACACACACACACACACACACAGACACAAAGCACATGCTACACTCACATACACACTCACACTCATACTCGCACGCACACACACACAGCACTTACACACACAGACACATGTGTATGGAGCGTCGTTTCATAATGGAAATGCAGCAGGATTCGTTAAATAAAATGACTTTTCTTAATATTTTTTAATGTTTGTTAACTTTTTACGTTGCGCAGTTTTGTTTTTAAGGCAGTAAATTTGATTTGACCGTAACTTGTAATTTAGTTCTTTTCCTGTTCCTTCGAGCCGAGAAAATTCCAAACAGTTAAATATGTGTGTGACGTGCTGCACGGCTCGCAGCTCACATTTTCCCTGCTGTTTACGCCTGAAATTCTGACATTTCTCGCGAAGCTCGGACATTTTTTTTTCTTTTCTTGGAGAGCAGCTGTCGCTGGGCATGCGCCTGCCCGTCATCTTGGCTGGCTTTACGTCATCCATTGGGGTGGCCGCCACTGTTGCTGCTGCTGCAAGCTTTACACGGGCGTAACGGTCACAGCCAGTGTTGGCAATTCAGCGGATTTCTAGCTCGTGGGCGGGAAACATTTTAAATTTATTTCGAAAATTCCGTTAAAATTTCAAATTATTTCGCACTGTAAAACAACTCGCAGCAACCCTCACTACTAGGAAACCTTGCCAACTGTTTAAAAAAATGGCGCAATAGGTGGCAACACTTTATCTTTCTCTGTTCCTCTGCAACACCTTGCCTATTTGAATTCAGCTATTTCTAACATTGAAAACAGCTAGTTTTTTGCAGTTGGGCAACACTGGCCACAACGCGTGAGCGCAAGCTTTGGCCCCGATTGGAGCACAGCGACTGCCGCATAGCCCGTACACTTTCATTGAACATGCCCAAGTACAAAGCTTGTGCAGAGTCGTGCATGCCCATGGCCATTTTTTTGAGTTGAGGTGTAGCGCAGCGAAAAGCTCGGGCCGCGCGCACATTGCTGGAGCTCGTTCAGCTGCAGCGTCGCCAGTGGCAGTCCTTTCGGTGAAGAGTTCAGCCGTCGCGCGTCGTCGTCGTCGCCGTTCGCCTGCGTCCGCCATTTATTGCCGTCGCCTCTTTGTCGGTCGGTCGAGGCTCCAGCGAAAATGACAAAATGTGAATATGCTCTGTGTATGTGTGTCTCCGTGTGACTCCGTCTCTGTGTGTGTTGTTTTCATTTTCCTTTTTTTTTTTTTTTTTGTATTTTGAACTTTTGACCCGTACGCAATCAGGTCATTTAAATGTTGAAACATTGTAAATGAGCCAGGTTTCAGTTTTGTTTGCCGTTAAACAACTTTTGTGCTGATTGAAAAATGCGTAATCGTAGCCTGAACCTTGAGTAAACACACACACACACACACATGCACACACTCCGCTGCTTTGAGTGAGCTCGTGTGTGTGTGTGTGTGTGCCTGGCTCGCACGCAACGCGACGTCACAGCAGCGCAGCGAGACACTGAGGCCTACAACAACAACAGCAATGCGCTGTTATAATAACAGAATCATATTTGAAGTGTTGTTCCCCCCCCCCCCCCGCCCCCTTTTAATCGTTTTGCCCATTTGCCAGTTGGGCTCCATTGATTCATCACAAAAGCCAATGAAAAATCGTTTCGTGCAAAGCACGAGGAGTCGCCAAGGCGACCCCCTCCATGCCGCAGCGCCAGTATATTAGCTGTCATGCCGCATAATGTTGCCACCTCGCCCTATATACATACATGTGTGTGTGTGTGTGTGTGTGTGTGAGTGTGTCTGTGTGTGTCCCATGTAAGCGTGCCAATGTTTTTTTTTTTTGCGCACACCCTGCCCAAACTTTGCGGACGGCACTGTAGCCAGTGCCAACTCCATTGAAGTAGTTCATTTGTGCCGCCCATGTGAGCTCATTGTCGCCAGTTGTAGCTCCCCCCACACCCTCCTTCCCCTTGCTGTTCCTTTTGGCCTCGCCTGCAGCTGCTGTTCGGCGGCATATTTCCGTTTCGTAATACTCCGGCACACGAGTGCCCCCTCCCCCTTTGCCCGTACCCCTGTCCAATGGCAAGAATAACAAGTACAACGGCATTTAAATGTACACAGTCGTGGTTATATAAAAATAACTACAAGCCAATGGAAATGCCACTGCGTACTGTCCAGAGTTAAACAAACAAGAACTATTTTTAAACGCATTTGAAGCGCTTACGCGTTGTCTAACGGCATTTTGACAACACCCACACCGCACCCTCCCCTTTCCACAACCGCGCTTAACTATTTTACGCACAGTGTTACAGCTGCACGTGGCCGCACGAATAGTGTGAGAAGCAAACGCCAAGAACAAAGCACAGAGCAAAGAGTGCAGAGTGCAGAGTGCATATAAATAAAACAGCAAAGAAAAAAGAAGAAAGAAGGAATAAGTGAAAAATAAAACAACATTTGTCCGTCCAGCAAACCTATTTTTTTGTTTTCTTTAAATAAAAGCAACTGTCAACAAAAGAACTAAATACCAAAAGCTAAGCAGCTAAACAAACAACAACAACAAGAAGAAGAAGAAGAAGAACACCAGCTGCAGCAAAAGAGTGAGAAAAGCCGTTACTCAAAATTGGGCATAGGCAGGCGGCCGCGCGCACACACACATACATAGACGCCCGCACGTACACATGTGCGCAGCCTTTTGCCGCAGTCATAAAATAATCAAGCAAAGGCAAGAACTGAACGAACAGACGAGCAGAGGAGAGGAGAGGAGTAGCTGCTGCTAAAGCAAAGCAGCGACGCGACTGCAACGTCGAAGGCTGCTGACGAAACATCTCCGCTGGGACACATAAAGCAATTAGCAAAGGTTGACAGCACACACACACACACGCACGCACATACTGCCAAGGCAAGGCAAGTTAAGATTTGTGGAGTGTCCAATGACTGCTAACATGCGTGCTCTGTCGCATCCCTGGATTATATTTAGACTAATTGCGCGTCGGGCAACAACAACAGAAACAACAGAAACAGCAACAACAACAAGAACAACGCACAATGCTGCTGCTGCTCCAGCTGCACAGCAGCGGCTGCTGTGATGAGAGCTGAAGGAGGATATGGAGAGGCAGCGACGACAGCAAACAGAAAGCAAAAGCAAAAGCTAAACGAAACGAAACGTACTCGACTCGCCCTGTGATATAACTGCACCGTAGTTGTAAACGTTTAAATCGTAGCTCATAGTTATCGTTATCGTTATCGATTATTAGCTTAAGCTAAACAGAACGGGAACTTCGCAACACTTCGTGCACCCAAAATATAATACATATATAAATATATATATTTAAGCGTATATATAGTATATATACAATTAGTAAATACACCTTCTCTGCCTGCCCCACGCGCACACACACACAAGCACACACACACACACACACACACACACACGTAAATTTGAAATACTTTGCTGCGCCGCCAGACCTTGCGCCATTTTGTATAGCCGGAAACCGGAAACGGAAATCGAGAAATTCGGTACGCCAATAAGCGCCTCGCAATACCGTAAAAAGCTACAGCATGGGAGATGAAGAGAAACGCACCGGCAAAGAGAAGCTGCTCTTCTATACGACGGCATTTTTCATACTTCTCGGCACGTTCAGCCTGTTTGCGTTCTTGTTTCTGGTGCCGTTCGTGATCG